AGACCTTCAGACTGTAATGACCGCCACATTCACAGCGGGCCGACTCTTTTCGGCGTACGTGTCCAGTAAACTGAGACCACGTGTTATGTTGAGCTATCACTTGTGTATAATCGGCATATCGTTGTGTGTATTATATTTTGGCAGAGACTCCATGACATGCATATGGATCGGGGATACTATGATAGGTAATAAATTTTGTGAATAAATGAAAACTTATAAAATTGCTAACCTTCTATATTGTTTCTAAATTAAACACAGGGTTTGGATTCTCGGCGATGTGGACAGCCTTATGGATGTTAGGCGAGGAGTGCATAAAACTGGACAATAGGATAACGGCTGTGTTTTGTGTGTCGTCCGGAATCTGCGGGTTTATAACTCCCTTCATAATCGGGAATCTCATTGAAAAACAGCCGCAAGTATTCCTATACTTAGAGTTCGGGTACTTTGGCTTAACTGTAGTCATGTTTTTCATATTACTATTTACGATTCATAAATTTTCGCAAAAAACTCATTTGTAAATGAAATTTACTTTCATTTTCTTTATATGTAATGTCAAATCATAGCTATTAAAAGTAATGAATTGTAAAAGTAATTTATTGTATAATTTTTATTTCTTTTATATATACTGTATTTGCTTTTCTATTTTTGAGTTTAGCACCAAAATATTTTTAATTTTAAAAAATTTATTACGTTTTCAAAATTTACTTTATAAACTTAATTATTTAACAAATTAATAAATTACACGTATTTTTGTATTCATACTACCACCGGTAGTTATCAAAATAAATAAGGTATATAATTCAACATAGCTTATTACAAGAATCTATCAAGAATGCGACCTTGATACTTGTCATGCACAGAGCATGTCATAATTATATTTGATTATCAGTACATTTGTTTTTAACATTTGAAAAAGTAGTAAAAAAGTGAAACATTATAAAAATAATTATTAAATTTACTTCAAAATCAAGTCATGACTGAAGACTTGGCTAAACGAGTGGCCGCTTATAAGGCGGTCGACAATCACGTAAAGGTTTGCACTTATTATCTATGCATTGAAATGACCTGTATCAATCAAAATTATATTGATATTACTACAGAATGGACATATTGTGGGCATCGGCAGCGGGACCACAATAAAACACGCCATCCGTCGCATCAAACAAAACCAATTGGACGTCAAGTGTATTGCCATTAGTCTAGAAGTAAGTTATTTAACACTTAATACACGAATATTCTGATAATAACGAGTATTTTTGTCAAACATTTAAGGAAAAGGAGTTATTAACGGAAAACGGCATTCCCTTAACGGATCTCCAGATTAATCCAGTGATCGATGTCTTCATCGACGGCTTCGACGAATTGGACGCCGAGACTAAGGCGTTGATCGCCGGCGACTGCGGTCGAGTCACACGCGTTCAACTCATGGCAAACGCCGCCAAACACACCGTTTTCATCGCAC